AATATTTTATTATACGTACAAAAAAAAATATATATATACAAATATTTGAAAGAAAAAGGTTTAGTTTAACACTCAACACAATTAGCTAGAGCAAAGGCAAAGGACTTCAGCATGGAATTGAATCTGAGCAGCGCCGTCTCGGCGGCCACCATCCAGTCGGGTTCGGTGATGATGAAGGCGCGCAAGGCGAAGAACAAGAAATTGCTGCCGACCTTCGATCTGTCGCTGGAGCAGAAGCAGGACATCAAGAAGGCATTCGATCTGTTTGATACGGAATGCACTGGCTTCATTGAGGTAAAGGAGCTGCGCGTGGCCATTCGAGCATTGGGCTTCGAGCCCAACAAGGAGGAGATCAAAAACATGATGGATGAGATCGATAAGGATAAGACAGGAAGGATTGCGTTTAATGATTTCTTACACTTGATGCGCTTGAAAATGGCCGCCAAAGATGCCATCGAGGACAGCCTAAAGGCGTTCTCCTTCTTTGATGATGATCGCACCGGTCAAATCAGCTTCGCAAATCTGAAGCGAGTCGCCACCGAGCTGGGCGAAAATCTGACCGACGAGGAGCTACAGGAAATGATCGACGAGGCTGATTTGAACGGCGATGGCGAAGTGTCACGCGAGGAGTACTTAAATGTGGTGAAGAAAACCAATTTGATTTAGGCAGACCTTGGACACAAACACGGGGGAAAAGACCTAAAGACACTGACAATCTTTGATGTATATATACATCATATATACATCAGGCAGCCGCTTTGCTCTCACTAAATCACACATCACAGAAGACAGATTGAAGAAGTTTGGATATGCTTCGGTTAAATAAAGCCCTCTTTAAGGAAACACTACCTTCCAGTAAAAAATGAAATTTTTTTTTTTTTTTATTATTTTTTTTTTTTCGCAATTTCACATCTATTAAAAGTGCATTGGATCCGGCCTGGTCTGGCCTGGCCTTTAGCTTTAGTTTCGCTGCCTGCCATTTGTCACAATTAGCACGGCGGAACTTCAATTACGTATAAAAAAACATGGCCTCCCCCTGCTCGCATTATCACGCACAGCTCGGCTTTATAGCTAGATGTGCTTGTGTTTAGTTTTTATATTTTGTGCTCAGCTCAGACCGCTGTCATGCATAACAAATCTCTTTGACACATTTGATGTACGCGTTTGCTGTGGCCCCAGGCTGGCGTGTGTGTGTGTGTGTGAGTGTGAGTGGCTATGTGGTAGCAGCTGATGCTCCACTTTGCCGAGTTGTTGCAACGAATTGCGGCAACAATTTCGTGGCATGCGTGGGTGCATTCCAGCCGGATTCTGGCCAGGCAAACATACTCGTTATTTAGTAGCATCGTTTAACTTTTTATTTACGCTATGCTTTGCATTTAGCGCCATTTAGTTGTTCCAGTTTGACTTCGGAATACAAGTCAAGCCAGCGGCATTAAATTCATCAGACTGCTGCTCCTGCTCCTGCTGCTGCTGCTGCTGCTGCTGCTTGTTCGAGGCGAGGCCATGCGGCGTATACGCAATTTATGTGACAATTCAGTCAACTAACGCCGCCTGCCTGCCAAGCACTTAACCCACTGAACAGTGAACTCTGTCTTAATAAATCAATCAGACAATTGATTACATATTCAATACGACGAGTCGATAAATTAAGACTCAACTGCAAATGAGAGTGAAAAAAAAAGAAAACAGTACAATAAATTAAGTCGAGAGAAGCTGAAGTTTTAAAGATTTAATTGAAGTGTTTAAGTCTTTAATGAGTTTGTATATCAAATACATATATACATACTTCTCTATATAGAAAGATCAAATTGATGTGCGCATTTGGATTGCCCAAGCTTGAACGTAGTCTTAACTACTTTAATTAACACCCTAACCACATGGCGTATGCGCAATAAATATTTTATACACACTAAAGGCCAACAAATTTATTGTCTGCTTATGAGAGTTTCTTAAACAAAGTTATTTCAAATAATTACGTACGCTAAAAACAAAAATAAAATCTCCAAATATCCATTGATGAAGTCGTAAAGTTAAGAGGCTGTCGGGTAATTACGTGTCCAACTCTGATAGAATTCCGAAGAAAAAAAAAAAAATATTGAAATAAAACTAAAACAAACTTGTGCATTTATAAAAGTTTTCGTCTTGCTTATTGCTTTTGGCAAATCGATTAAAGAGCCAAAGCGTAACAGACTTCAAATATATACATATATAGTAGATATAGAAGCAACACTCAATTTTACGAACATTTAACTAAATACCCGGTCAGACGAGCACACTGCCCAGCCCCTGAAAGCCAAAGAAAATTCGAATAAAAAGGAGAAAACTACTAAAATGTAAAAGGATCTGCTCGGAGCAACAGCTACGAAAGCGGAGCATAAAAAAAGTTTGGTGCAAACTACAAAACTGCCATAACTCAACATTACACCCAACAAACACACACACACACACTCACACACACAGACAACTGCGAGCATATTCGCAAAGCTGAGCTGGAAAAATGTTCGTTGCTGTAGCGGGAAACTTGAAGAGAAACAGCACCAGAAAAAAAAAACAATGATGAATGCTCACACACACACGCATACTTACATAAATTATGGTAAAAAATTGCACGAAATTGCAGCAAAGTAGACGAAAAATGATTATAAAATGTGCATTATGAAATTTAAGGCGAGACAAAGACGGGCATAATTCAAAAGAAGAAAAGCGCACGCAGAAAGTCAGCAAAGAGAAAGCTAAGCTAAACGTCGCGAATGTAAAATAAAAGATATATACTTATACATATATATAGTTATGCAACGATATATCAAGCAATTTAATGCTCAACAAGTAAGAAGGCTCCAGTCGAGACTGCTCGACTAGGAGATACCCTGAACCCTCCAARCTGATATTCTAATCAKTCTGGACTTTTTTTATGCACACATACATACACATGCACTTATCAGCACGCGCTCTGCTGACTGCGCAGTTAGCAGCGACTGCGCTTGGGCTGCGCTGCAATGTGGGCAATATTATGAGAATTTATTTGTTGAATAATTTCTTTTGTAGACATACGATCTTAATGAAACTTTCAGAGCGTAATCATATGGTTAAAATATGTGTACATTCCAAAGCACAAGACTCTAGTACTTGAAATGCGTTTTTTACAAATTGGGGGAGAAGGGGGCGTGGTATCCAAAATCTGTAAATTACAAAATCTTTGTATCCATTAATTTTATATACAACCCAAATTTGAAGTCTCCAGGTCTAAAAGTGTTAAAATTATGCTGAAAAAACCAAGTCGATTTTTCGATTATTCTCGATAAAAAAGTTATCGGACGAGTTATCGAAAAAATAAAGCAAACTTGTACTGCCTATGGTATACACGAGTATGCATGCCAAATTTCAGCTCTCTAGCTCTTANTATATATGCAATTCAAACAACTAAAATTGCTGAAGAATTATTGAACATAAAATAGAACCAGCAAAATGCACGCCCCTTTCAGAGTCAACCACATTGCTTATTTGATCTATCAATCCATAACAGCCGACAAATTTGCCAATGTAAAGTCAATTTAAAAGTCTCAAAGTTAGGGCCATGCATATGGAAATATTAGATTAAAAATTAAGTCTTATCTTTGCTGAACCTAACACCTCACTAAATATTTATATATTCCTTATTTGAAAACAAAGACAAAAAAAAAAACCTTTCTCTTTGGCTTAATTGGCTATTAGAAACTTTTTGGGAAGCATAAAAAAAAAAAAAACTTGAAGAGCATAAAATCAGCGCGTTGCTTCATGAAAATTTGGTCAGCCCGTTGGACAGGCAAAATATGCAAGAGATGCCACCGCAGAATATTTGCATAAATTATTTAAGTTTTTTTTTTCTTTCGACGGCGACAGGCGTAGGAAATTACCAGCATCGTGTAATGAAAATATGAAAATTTTCAATTTCCACTTAAGCAGCGGACATGCTCCTCCATGAGCTGAACTGAGCTGAACGACGACAAGCTGGGGACAGACAAGGGACTGGCAGGGGACTGGCAGGCAACTGGCAGTGGCAGGACAGGACAAGACTAAGTAAATAATAAAAATAATCAACAGGAACACGACAGGCGACAACAATAATAACGAGAAGCGAAGGACCAAACAGATTGGTAGGCATCGCGAGGAGAGGACGCGTAGGCCTGCTGAGAGCCCCAACATAAAGCAATCAAAATTCAAAGGAAATTTTTATTAATGTCAATGCGTTTCGTTTCGGCCAGACGTATAAAAATAAAAAGCAAATCAATGCAAATGTATTTCCCGTAACTGAATTCAATTTCAAATCCCCGGAGCGTCGGTGTTTCATGCTCAACGAAAATAATAATAATAATAATGATAATAATGATGATGATGATGATGTTGATGATGTTGATGATGACGCCATGACCTGACCGTAACCAATTCAATTAGGACACCAACACCACGCACTTAGATGGCCAACTGGAAGCTGGGCAATAGCAATAGCCAGGGCTAAAGAGAAGTTTCCCTTTAACTCAAATAAACCTTTTTTTCTTGCTCTTTTCGCACGCCCTCTCACTGTGTGCGTGTGTGTGTGTGTGTGTGTGTGTGTGTGTGTGTGTGTGCGCTATTCTCTGCCTATAGCATAATTAAATTTCATGTAGCCGTTGGGCAGTTGCAAATGCATGTGCTGGCCAATACAATTTCACCAATTCGCTAGAGTGCAGCACGCACTGAGGCGCCGCATTAAAACATATTGAAAACTCTTTGAGCATCAATAATCCAGGTTAATATATATTAAGGGGAGAGAAGTTTAGGCAACTGAGGGGCTATATATAAAGAGAGCAAACTGTTATGTTGGGACATCGCATGAAAATGGGAGAGCCAAATGCAAAGAGTTAAAGCACATTTTATTTATTTATATGTGTACTGAATTTATATAATTATATATAACATAATTGATACTTCGCCCGAGTTCTCTTATTCTCTTCAATACACTCGACTATTATGCCTGCAATATGGCTTAGTAAACTGTCCCATAAGCATACGGCCAACTCTCGGCGCTTTGCTCTTGGCCGGAAGTTTGCCATGTCGATTGAGTTAATGCAATTTCCGCTTTTGTGACAGCTGTAAATTTTCAATTTATTTAACGCCTTGTTCTTGTTCTTGTTCTTCTTCATCATCTTGCAGCTAAGCGACACGCCCAGCTTGTCGGATGTGGACATCATACCGCCWGTGCCGCCGCCGCCTGCGCTCAAACGGAACGGCAGCATGCGCAGCCTGCGTCTGCTGCAACAGCTGCAACAGCAACAGCAGCAGCAGCAGCAACAATTGTTGCCATTAGCTGTCAACAAGAGCAACAACAATTTGGCAATGGGCATGGCTCAGCTGTGCAGCAGCGATCTGCTAGAGGACTGCACCAAGACGGCGCTCGATGATTGTGCAGCGACGTTGCTGAAGTGCGCCAACAGCGGCAATAGCAACAGCAGCGCCAGCAGCAATATAAATGTCAAGCCGGATCTGTGCAATGGCAATAGCCACGCCCACAGCCTTAAGAAGTCACACAAGCCCAAGCACCCGCCCTTTGCCGCACACGAGGAGGACAACATCTTTACGCCGCACTCCCAGAAATCAGATCCCAGTTTATGTTTTGTGCCAGCCGCAGCCGCACCAACAGCAGCTGGAACAACAGGCAGCGCAGCAGCAACTATTGCTGCCGCACCCAACAAATACAATACAATCGGGCCGAGCAGCGATTATGCTAGGCACTTGGCCCACTATAGCCGCTACCTGCAGAAGCAGCATCAGCAGCAGCAATTGGCTCACTTTCAGCAGCAGCGTTGTCGCTGCTTCTCCCAATCGCTGCTCAACTTTCCAATCAACCAACAGCAGCAGCAGCAGCAACAGCAACAACAGCAACATCAGTCACAACAACAGCAACCAGACTCCAAGCCGAACCTGGGCATTCTGCAGCAGCTGACAGAGCCGGCAGCACATATATTTCACACCAGCAGCATGGACTGGACGCTGCCCATGAACAGTCGCAGCTTTGGCAATTTGGTGGACATTGATGGCGGCTGCCGTGTGCCGTATCAGAAAATGCAACAATCATCGGCGCTGGCCTCCTCCAATTTCACAATGAACTCCTTCGATAGCGCCAACAGCAACGGCATACTCAAAGAGCGCGACTCGCAGTCACATTTGCCAGCCCACGCCCACTCACATCCACACAATCATCCACATGGCCATTCGCATCATTACCATGCACACGATGTGGCCCATTCGCTGCTGCATCATGCGGCCGTTGGCGCCAGTACTGGCATTCCGGCCACACCACAGAAACATCATCAGCTGCACTCGAGCGTCACGAGCATCATGCCCTGGAAGCATCGACAGTGCCCCAGTCGCGGCTCATCCAGTTCGGGCACTAACTCATTCCGTAAGTTCACAAAAATAACGAATTTATAAGACCTTGATATTATAATATAAGT